ACTATAGAGTAGGGATGTCAAAATGCCCGCCCATGGGCTGGACGTGTCACAAGGAAACCACGCCCACCCCATTGCTGGCAATGGGGAAAAAGTTCCGATACATCGTGCGATGTGTCACATGATGTCGCGAGTTTGACATGTCCGCTATAAAGCGATACGCTGGCCAGTCTGATGATGATGATAAAGTTGGGAGGGACCTTGGATGTCATTTTGTCACCAAGCGGTGCTGAGTAGAAGAGAAGGGTGGAGGGTAAGATATACCAGCTAGAAAATGATATAATGATAATAGTAAAGTTGGAAGGGACCTTGGAGGTCATCTAGTCCAACTCTTTGCTTAGGCAGGAAACCCTACACCATTTCGGACAAATGGCTGTCCAGTCTCTTCTTAAAAACTTCCAGTGTTGGAGCATTCACTGCTTCTGGATAAAATTATCCTACCACATTGTTTGCATCATATTCATATTGTGGTTGGTTTTAACATACTCTCTGTGCCAAGAAATATTCCAGATTGTGATTTTTTTAAAAAAAGAGTGTTACTTGTAACCTTGAGCTATACTTCAAATTACTTCTGTTGCCTTTGCATGTTATTCAGTCTCAGTTAGGAATCAAGCACTGGACTGATCTGAATGGCAAAAGTTGCCACAAGATTTGATCTTAAAACAGTATTTTTGATGTACTTTTATTCTGTGGCCTGCCTTGTCCTCCACAAAAGCTTAGAACAGTGAGTCTGCCATTGTGAATCCTCAAAGTTGAATTGTAGAGTTCTTGTTGCTCTCTGAGGTTATTTGCTTGCAAACGTTTCAACTAGGCAGTACCCTCAGGCACTGATGCAAACATATATATGTAAGGAAACAAATAGAAATTGGCGGACTTTATGGCCGCAATCTATAATTATTTGCAGTACCAAAGTGTACATCTTTTATTCATGGGCAACACAGTTCTGTTTAGCATGTCATGGGATCTTGCCTACAAAAAAGAATTAGGCTACCAAGCTTAAGCTTCTAGACACTAGCTACTTAAAGTTGAATGTGTGGATCTTCCGAATGATGCTACCAGTTTTCTATGAATGAAGTGCTTATTGTAATAACTGCCAGCGTACTTTTTGTAATGGTTCATCAAGTTTATAAGAGTTGCTCCTTAAATGCTGCCTAAAGGAGTTATTTTGAAGCAAATAATCCTTTTGGTTCAAAGTTAGTGTTGGAAGGACAGTTGTCTTTTCCTTTGCTTAGGGGGAAGGATGTTTGCTTGTGCGTTTTCATTCATTTTTATCCTGGTATTGTTAGTTTTGGCTGTATACAGTTTTAAGTTTTGAGGCTGAATTTTGCAGCTAGAATGTAAAAGGTTGAAGAAAAACAGTTCTACACTGTGGACAAAGCGGTCTGTTACAGTAGACTATTTGTGTGTTTTATGGGAATGAGATAAGCTTTCTTCCTGTTTCATGTCAAGTATTCACAAATCCTGTTTCCTTTGTCCAAAGGTACTTTTCTTCATTGGTCACCTTCCAACTTTTGCTTCTCATCTCTAAAGGGAAAAATCCTGAATACTTTCATATTTTAAAAAAAACATAAGAAAATTTGGCAGTAGCTCTAAATTTTAAAATGTTTGCTCTGCTCCCAAGGAGGAATGTGAAATCTGGCCTTAATCTTGTGCTGGATGCTAACAAATAAAGCTGCTTTCCATAGAAGCTCAAAACTGCTGTGAAAGTATTAACTATATCTTTCCTAGGCCTCAGAGAGCATAGGGTTTGGTCTACCCACTGGGAACTGAATACAAATCCCCAAATCCTTTTAGGAAGGCTTCAGAGAGGTTTGAATAAATTCAGAAAAAGAGCAGTCAAGATGACGAGTCTAAAAATTAAGGCATACGAAGAGAAGTTTTAGGATATGCTTGTCGCTAACCTTCAGAAAAGGCAACTGATATATGATAGTACAGTTCAAATACGTGAATGGATGTCATGTAAGAGGAGGGCAAGACCTGTTCTCAGATTTAAGTTACAGAAAGACAGATTCCAATTAAATACTAGATCAAAACTTCCTGAGGGTAACAGTTTAACATTGGAAGCTGTTATCTGAGAGATAGTGGGTGGAGTTTTTCACTAGATGTGTTCAAGTAGAAACTAGATTGTCATCAGTTTGGGGTGTTTTAATTTGCATTCCTTCACTGAGTAGGGAGCTGGACTGTGAGGTCTAAATGACCCTTTCCAAACTGTCAACTCTCATCTTGGAAGGACAAAAAAAAATATATCTCAAACTGCCTGTACAATTTGTTTTAGATGGTTTGTGTAGGATATTCAACACTATTAAATTTTCTCACCATAATTCAACTGAATTTATTGCTCATCTAAAGCTGAAATGTGAATCCTGGTGCATTTCTTACTTCAAGTCCCAACTTGCAGTGCAGTTAGTGTGAATGTGAACCAGATTTGTTTATTTTTTTTGTCAAATTTATTTTAAAATGTAGAACTGCCCAATAGCTGCATTCTAGGTAATCTGCAATAAAATACATTAAAATATACAATAAAAACATAGAGACAATAAAATCAAAATAAAAAACTATACAAACTAGGCAATGGTAAGAAGGTCATTCAAAATGTAAGATACAAATTAAAATCCCGAGGAAAATAGAAAAGCCTTCACTTGGCACTCAAATATGCTAATGTAGTGTAGTACCAGTTGAGCCTCACTAAGGAAGGGAATTTCATAATTTCAGAAATTCACTATAGAAAAAAACTCCCTTTTTAAAGCCATCTATCTTTGATGGAGGGAACTGGTGGAGAACCTCATTACATCCTCTTAAAAAGTCTGTTCATACAAACTAGACAAGATGCTCCTTAGGTAACTAGAAACCCAAGTCTTAAATGAGTATTTCACAGGTTAAGGGGTAGAGCCAACATAAGGAATGTTTTTGGGGAAAACAAACAAAAGAAATCCTGATTGTTACACTTAAGGGGACATAGTGGACGTAAGAAAAGAGACAAAACAAGTTATTTTTTTTGAACCTGGTTCATTTAAAGAAATTGATTCTTGTGAATTTAAGATACTTCGGTCTACAAACTAAGGTGATTGAGCCATGAAGGACACTTTTTTCTCAGTTTGTCTGCAAGGAATTGTAGCGGTATTGTAATTTAACAGGGCTCACCTAGGAATTTATCCTACAGGAATACTTTCTCCTGAATTAAAAATAAGAGTAGAGAGAATAAGGCATAAGAATATAAAAATATTCTGAAGATGTGATTGGAGACAAAATATTTTGGAATGTTTTGTTCCTTACCCTAAATGTTTAATCCAACATACAAAATCCATTAAGATTGGGATATATTATAAACGTTGTAAAACAAATATCTATATGAATGTGGAATACCGATTTAGTGGTTAAATTGTTGTAACGAAATGAGCAGCCAGATTGTATTTCAGTTTTCTTTTGAACAAATCTGTTCAAAGGTTGTCTTCTGGGCCTTCTACTTTCAAGGTAATTTTCAAGGCAATCTGTCCAGGCATGTGGAACATTTTATATGCTGTCAGCCAAAAGTATTCTTTATTCATTTTCTGTATTTCTTCTGCTGTACACAAACATGTTGAAAATTGTAAAATATGCTAATATGATTACAGTATTATATGTGTCAATTTTGTGATTCTTTGCTCTTAGCTTATTCTTCCCAAATTACTGAAAAGGTTTTAACAATATTTCATTGTGTGAAAATCTTGCAATCACTCAACAGAAAGGATGATATCAGTTTTATCCTATATTAGATGAAAAAAAGTTCTAAAGCATTTCTATGTATATGTGTGCCCTAAAATATGTCTTAAAAGTGTGTAACATCTAAAAGAGAGATGAAAATAGAAATAGAGAAAAATAACTTGCATGCGTGCCACTACCAAAATATTGTCAGTGTTAATTATGCTTGCATGATTTGGGTTGGATAGGTGGCAAAGGAAATACAATTTGTCTGATTAAAAAATGCTTTTACAATTTTCTTATTTTGGTCTAGAAATAGTTGTCTACTGTAGTTTTCTCGACATTTATGCACCATTTCCCACCTGAAATAAATAGAAGAAATTTGAAAATTTGTTTAAGTTGAAGGGTTAATCTTCCATTTAAATTATTGGTTGTTCGGCCTCCAAACAAAGCATGCTGGGATTTCCTTCCAGCTGTTTTACATCATGAAGATTTGTGTGTTAGGGAAATTCCATTGCACAGCTGCAACTCATCCAATCCACATTCTCAAACCTCCAACATTTCACAGGACACATGTATTCAGCTATAATGGCATGAGATACTTATCTTTCTCCGCTAGAAATACAATGCAAAATAGTTTTATTATGTCCAGCAATAAAGACCAATATACGTTATTGATGCTAGAAAATTACAGAAAAACGTGTTTTCATATTTATGCTTGAAAGTGAAACCAGCCTAAAATTACTTTGTGCGTACTTTAAGCTTTAAAAGCTACTTTTAAAAATCAGAATGGTGGATTTGTTTTAAATAGTTCATATTGAATGTTAGTGAGTTGGCTTATCTAAAAGTATTCTCAATTAGACCATTGAGATATAGAATAGATCAATATTTATTGAATACTGATAAACTGAAGATACAAATTAACCAGTGCAATTAGATTTTTTTATAATTGGCTCCTATAACATTTAGTATATAATGTCAGTGCCTAAATTTTGCTGAATCAATTGTTCCCTATCCCATTCATGTCAGCAGCCAGAGTGGAAGTATACTTTAGTGTTAACCTAGAAAAAAATATATATAATTTATTATTTTTAGGTTACCAAGGCAGTTTGAAACCCAGTGCTAAGGACCAAATTCCCAGGAATTACCATACTATCTCGTTGTTAGGCTAAAAATATACCACAATCGTTGAAGAGATTTCTGATATTAAAAAAATAACCCACAAAGAACAACCTTTGTATTAAACTAAACTTGGACAATTAAGCTTTTTGGGGAAAACTATTTTTTATTGGATTGTTTATTTCTTTTAATTTGATTTCTTCCAGTATCTTCAGGTGAAATGGCCACTTTTAGATGTACCAGCTGGAGCTACGCTAAAGGATGCAAGGTCTCCCTCTCCTGCCCATTTAGTAAGTGCCAATGGTTTATTTATAGATCTTTGTGGTTGTTGTTAAATGAAGATTTATTTATGAATATATACACATGTCTATATTCCTTCAGCACAATTAGTTTAGAGTTACTGAGTCAATTATATTCAGGGTGGGGCATAAAAATTTGAATGTCCATAAAAAATAAAAGATGTGTGATAGTTATCTATAAATTATTGTGGGACAGTTATCTATCTCACATGATACTAGTTTGTTACAAAGAGCATTTTCATCAGTACCACAAGTGTTCTAAAGAAGCGTTTAGCAGAAAGAAACTGAAGAAAAAACAACCATTGAAAAATGAGACAATTAATTTTCAAGGCATAATATCTTGCAGCTGTGTCTAAAATATCTATGCCTCAGGCTTTGAATTTCGAGTTAGGTTTTCATGAGTCCACCATAAAAAACATGTGACTAGAAGAATCTTTTGTTTCAATGGCAAACTAAGACAAACAGTGATACTCTTAATTAACTGAAAAGGGATCTTTCAACTCCTCCCCACGCCCCCATTACTTCAGATTGAACAGCCTTGATCTGCATTGTATCATGCAGCCCAGACCTTCCAGTGTATTCATGCTGAAAGAAATTTTTCAGATTTTTCGGAGCGCTCATGATGACAGAAATTACACTGCTGCAATTGATTTGAAATAATCTTACGATTTAAAAAGTAAAATGAAATATTTTTGAGAGAACGTTTATACAGCAAATAGCAAATTATATGGCAGAGCAAGATGGTGACACAACTTCCTGACAGCGAAGACAATTAACCAGTGGAATAGCTTACCCCCAGAAATTGTGGGCGCTCCATCACTGGAGATTTTTTAAAGAGGCTAGAGACAGTCATTTGAGATGGTATAGGTTCCCCTGTTTGAGCAGGGGGCTGGACTAGAAGACCTCCAAGGTCCCTTCCAGATTCTATTCTATTCTATTTTATTCTATTCTATTCGTTGAAACTGAAATGAGAATCTTAAAAAATCTTAAAGGGAACGACTTGCTAAACACAGTTTTCATGAATACCTAATATTGAGCGTTAACATCTGTAAAGCTACATGCGGTCCTCAGCTTATATCCATTTGTTCAGCGACTGCTGAAAGTTACAACGCCATTTCAGCACCTCCGCACAATCCGGGCCCTTGGATGTTCAGCTCATGATTACAACATTGCAGGGAGCGTGGTCATGTGACTACTATTTGCAATCTTCCCTGCCAGTTTTCAACAAGCAAAGTGAATGAGGAAGCTGGCAGGAAAAGTCTTAAGTTACTCTGGTAAGACCCTCATGCTTTATCTTTTGCCCACAGCACCATCTACACATGGCCTCCCCTACCCCATGGCACTTTCACCGGAATTCCCTTCCCGCTTAACCCGCGTGTCTTACGGTTAGGACAGCAGCCAGGATGCCCAGAATTACTGTCGCTAAGTAGTGCAGTCATGTGACATCATGCTTTACAACAATAATACTTAGTGATGGCAGTCCCTGTCTCAATTACTGCCATAACCCGAGGTCTGACCATATAATATTTTTTAAATGGCTTCTACGTTTGCCATGAGCAATGACAATAGAGTTATCAAAGGTTTCACAGAAGATTGAAAGAGCAAACCATTTTGTGTTTCTTTTTTTGAAAAGCTCAAAGTGAAAGACAAGAAATGGGAAAAGGGGATGCCACCACAAGATCAGTCATGGCATCACTTATTTGTGTACGGGTGTCTATGCGTGTTTTCATCCTATAGTCATTAGTTGACTTTCTTTGAAATTCTGCTTTGACTTTCCTGAACTGAAATTAACTCCACTGAGGAAATGTAACGGGGTTGGTGTTAAATGACTCAAACACAAAGAATAGCAATGCACTTCAAATGTAGTTTCTACACCTTAATTTGAGCAGGTTTTATTCTAGGTTTATTTCCCATTTACCATAGTTAATAGTTCATTAAGCTTTCAAGCCTTTTTTTTTTTCCAGAAATGATCTGATGGTCCTAAAATGAATGGATTAGGCCACAATTAGCTTGGGTTAATAATAGTGAGCATTATATGATCCTGAAAAATATTATCAGATCTTAGAGAATACAGACAAAATGGTTAAAGAATTACAGTGCCTGTTTACTACCATGCATAAGAAAGTTGGATTCCTCCCAATGTTATATTGTGCTTCTCTTATGAAGTAATTTCAAGTTTTCATTTGGATCCAGTTCTTAGATTGTGCATGAATGAGAAAGCCTTCCCTAGAGGAGGCTTGGACGGCTTTAAAAAGGTATAAACTAGTCGAAGAGAATGTGGGTGTTGTTTATGAGCATAATCAAGGAGCTCGTAAAAAGCAAGAAAGCTCCTTTTAAAAATGGACATATTGCCAAAATGAAAATAGATATTAGTACAGATGACGGCAAAATAAGTTTGCTGATAAGACAAATGGAAAATATTTTTGAGGAGCATACTGCTGGAATGTTGGGAGTAAAATAAATTATCAGCAAAGGAGATGGACAAATAGTAAAGGAGTAAAAGGCACACCAACAGAAAGATGGCCAATGAACTGAATTGATTTTTGTGTCTTTTTTTAACCTCAGAAAATGTGAGGTGCACTGAATTTCTTTATCTTAAAGACTTGAGTGAAATACAGGGGGCAAGAGGTGAACTGGTAGGACCGTTTTAACAAATTAAAAATTAACAAGTGACTGAGCTCAAAAAAAAAACACTGCCGGTAATTCTTATGGAAGTTTCAAAAATCCTGAACTACTGTGAAAAAATAGCCACCCCACTAAACTCTAAAACCTGAAAATTTCAGCCAGTGTTATACCCATTTTTTTTCTTTAAAAAAAGGAAGTAGGCAAGTTATCCTACTGTTTGTTCCAGCTCAAATTGAAGATAGAAATTATCCATCATTTAGAAGAACAGATGTTGATGGGGGAGCATCAGCATAGTTTTTTGCAAGCACCTTTATCAGAGTGTTAGCATGTAAATAGATTTAGGTGTCAGAATATATTTTTGTCATTAAAAATAACCTTTGGCAATGGTTGTTATCAAAGGCCACTGAGTACATGCAGAAGTCATAAAAATAATGGGTTAATAATAGTTAATTGGAGGAAAATGGATTGCTTTTGCAAGGAAAGGAGGTTAGCACTCTTGTTAGGGATCTCTGTTGTGCTTGCTACCGAGTGATGTAAAGTCAAGCACACTGCAAACCAAATAGCCCTTTACATGCTGAAATTTTTATTTCATGTACTAGATCTATTTTAAGCCTGTGCCATATATATGTGTATGTGTATAAAATAGGAAAATGTACTTCCCAAATTATGTTTTTTTCTCTCTTCCCTTTTTAAGGTAATAAATGGGTTAAAAACAGAAGTAAATACTGCATTTAATTACAGATACATTTTTGCTTTTCTCTTGTAGTCAAACAAAGTTCCTGTAGTTCAACATCCACATCACATGCATCCTCTGACACCACTCATCACCTATAGCAATGACCACTTTTCACCAGGCTCACCACCTTCCCATCTCTCCCCAGAGATTGACCCAAAGACAGGTGAGTGTTGAAAATCCAATCTTACCCAAAGCCTATTAAAGGGTTTGAGGGCCTCACCAAAAGAAAAGCACAATAAATAAATTGGGGGGGGGGTGGGAGTAACAACAAAAACGTAAATTTATCAGCAGATATTTTGTGAAATACTGGAAATAAAAAAGTTATTTACATGTTTCTAACTAAAGGGGAGGTAGGGATTCCAGTTTAGAATAGAAAAAAAGGTTAACGAGAGACTGTATCTTAACATATATTATTGTTTCTCCACCATCAGGAATTCCACGGCCACCGCACCCTTCAGAACTCTCTCCTTATTATCCATTGTCTTCTGGTGCCATTGGACAAATTCCTCATCCTTTGGGATGGCTTGTACCACAGTAGGAATTTCCACTCTAAATATCCTTTTTTGCTTTGGTTTTTTTTTTCTCTTCAAGTGCTGGTTGGTCTTCATTCAGTCCAAAGATTTTGACCCCAACACGTGTTACTTCTGAAATAAATCCATTTCATGAAGCCACAGGTGCTGTAACCTTTTGAGTTAGCCAAAACTTCACCTGCTCAAGAGACTTTTTTTCTGCATAGTTTCCTACTTTGTCAGAATAAGATTTCACACATATAGGTGCACATTACAATCACGTTGATATACCATCTGTGTGACACCCTTTATTTATGAAGCTCAAATTCTTTTACCTTCAAAACAAGCCGCAGAAATATGTGGTCAATCCCAAGGACACAAATACTGCTGCATGGCTAAGGCCCGCAAGCACAGAGGAGTAAAGAAATGTACAATTGTATTTATTCTAGTGTTCACAGTGATAAATATGATCATATATATAGTTGGGGTTCCTATAGTTTAATTGTGATTTTGTATTAATGTGATTAGTCAGATAACACAAAATCACTTGAATAAATAAGGAATATCTTAAGAAAAATACATTATTGTACTATAATGTAAAGATTTCATCAATATGAACAAAGCGGCACCTCTATTGTATTCCATAGTATCATAAGGAAGCTTGAGGAGAATTTGAAAAGATCCAGTCAGTTCATATATGATTAGCATACTGAGACATGCACATCACTGCTGATACTGCTACATTCTGCACTAGTTGAAGCTTCTGGATGGTCTTCAAGGGCATCTATGATGTACTGAATGGAGACACCAAATATGGACGTGTTATATTTAGAAAACCTTAAGTGGAAAAATGGTTTTAAAATGGCACTATTAAACTATTCATGATCTCCACAGATCAACTCCATATCGTGTGGTTTTTCTTTCTAAGATAATGTTTTACGTGATCTGGGGTTTTACCAAGAGATGATAGTTAGGGCGGAAATTGGTCAAGGAATGGGAATCTGGGTTTGATGATGAAGAAGGTCTGCAGCACAAACTAACGGTAACAAATATTTGCAAATAATAACTTTTTTAAAAAAAAATTGTGATTCTCAGGAGGTAAATGTACCTTATAATAAATTCCATATGTGTTCAGTGAACTCATAGAGAAATAATATAGCACCAAATATTGTATAATTTCTAGGAAACTACAATGTTAGGAGTTAAGTGATAAGTTTTGTAATTTGGGGAAAAAAATAATTTGTTGGCAATTGTAACGAGGAGAACTTGTCTTGTCCATTTTCAGGCAAGGACAGCCGGTGTATTCCATTCCTCCAGGTGGGTTTAGACATCCATATCCTGCCTTGGCTATGAATGCCTCAATGTCCAGGTGCGTTCAAGCGGGAATCTGGGTCTAATTCTCTCTGAACTAGCAAAACCATATCTCTGCATCACAGGTCAAACCAGGGTCAAGAACTCATAAGAGAAATTGAACATGCTTTATGTCTTATATCTTGTTTTTGTGGGGAGATTCTTTTTTCTTAAAGCTATGACTGTATCTTAAAGGGGTACCAGATGAACAGCTCAGTTATATTTAAATTGCTATAGTTTACACCAGTAAAGGCGAACCTTTTAGAGACCAAGTGCCTCATAACTGTTCCATCCACCCCTGCTCCGCGCCCCCCCCCCCACAGGACCACCCACTGCCCACAGGGCTTGCCGCAGATCGTCCAGGTGGCCCAGTAGCGCCATGGCAGCCCCGCCCTTCACGCGCACCCCACAGCATCATCATGTGATGGCACGAGGGTGGAATCTTGTCCCCGCTGCCTGGCTGGCATGTTTTTGGCTGTGCTGCTCTGCGTGGGCTGCGCCTAAAGGCGGCTCTCCTCCAGGGGGCTGCTAGTGAGAAGGGTCGTGAGGGAAAGCGGGGCTGGGGCAACGGTGCGCGTGCCCTCGGAGAGGGCTCTGAGTGCCCCCCTCCCAGCATGTGTGCCATAGATTCGCCACCACTGATTTACACATTAGAACAGTGGTTCTCAACCTGTGGGTCGGGACCCCATTTGGGGTCGAACAAACAACGCAGTCCGCCATTTTTTTCCCCCCTTTCCTTAGCTGTGCTACTCCCTTTTATTCTATTGGCTTTTGAAAGCCAATAGAATAGACTCTCTTAAATAGAGTCTAATTCTATTGGCTTTCAAAAGCCAATAGGAGTTGTCCAGGCTGTCTCTGCCCTGCCAAGCCTGCCAAAAGTCCCATTCTGCAAATGGTGCTGCACCAGTTGAGAAGTCCTCGACTTACGACCGGTTGACTAGTCCTTGACTTACGACCGGTTGGGGGTCGCGGCATTAAAAAGGTTGAGAACCACTGCATTAGAAGCAAATTTAGAGGGAAACATTTTGCTGAATTAATTTAGTATTTTGTACTCTCCAGAGCAGGGGTTTTTGAAACCTTTAAGCCTATATTTTTTAAAAAACCTATTTTTTTTTAAAAGAAAAGAACAAATCCTTGTACCCCTGTTCAAGAGTGAAAATTCTGTTAGTAGAAAAGTGGCTGTGTTCAAAGGAACATTTTGCCTGGGGGCTTTAGTTTTTCTTGGGACCCCCATCAAATTCCCAAAGAACCATTAAGATTCTATACAACACACTTGGAAGAGCATTTATGCCATCTTCTACATTTATGGTTTATATAACCTTCATTCTGATTATGCTGTTGCCATTTTCATGATTCAGGGCAGTGAATCAATAACTTGCCATTTTGGACCTCATTTTTGAAAAATTGACTTCTAAATGACCAAAAAAGCAAAACGAATAGAAATTTCTAACAAGGAATAAAAATAGGCATCTTTTCTCTTTAAGCATTGTTTTAAAAGATGTGGATTATACAGACAAGAACCAAAATCTGTCCAAGTAGTTCTCTCTGCCTTAGCCATTAATGCAGTAAATTGATTATTCGTAAGTTGGCCTTCAGTTATTGCTGTTGACCTTAGGTTTTACTGTTCTTTGAGGGCTCTGACAAGATGCCACAGAAATAGGAAAATAAGGAAAGTGGAAAGGGGTATGAAGAAATAATAAGTATATTATATATAATGATGAAAATACTGCAGTTGTGAGAAGCATTTTTTTCTCAGCATACAACCTTTGTGCTTCAGCTTGATGTCTAGCAGGTTTTCCCCTCATATGGTTCCTCCTCCTGCGCATGGAATTCATCCCTCAGGAATCCCACACCCCACCATCGTGTCGCCTATTGTTAAACAAGAGCCAACACAGTCCAGCCTGAGTCCTGAAGGAAACTCGTAAGTAATAGGTTAGCTGGCTGCTGCCTTGAATGCCTTTGTTGATGGAATGTCTAACAGGGAAACAGTTGCTCTCCATTTGTTATTTCTTAACATGTTTTACATTGTACTTGGATGCACGTATGTCCTCACAAATTCACAATAATGCAACCTTACTGTGCACTACAAAATTACCCTCCACCCCCGAATATTTTTGGGGCACACTGTTTTTCTTTCTATTCTTTCAACCCAGTAAAAAGATGGAAAGAAATTATGCAAAAGGATTAGGGCTCTGGCATTAGCACAATAACTCCCTGCAAACTGAACACGACAGAACCAGATTTGGTGTGAGAGGAGGGAAGCTTGAGAAACAATGGCCAAGTTCAAAAAGGGCCAGATGAGCCTCCAGCTGTGTGGAGAAAAACATTTCCCCACAACATCACTGCAGAAAAGGCAATTCGGCAATGGCTTATGCCTCTGATTATAATCTGCGGGCCCCTTCCTTCCCACACCTTCCCTCTCTGTTACGTGACTCTGAAAATGGAACTATTATTAAGGACTTTGAAAGAAATCCAGAAGTTCTGCCCTGCATGCTTTTCCTAACTTGTTTAAACAAATGGAAACAGCAATCTTCTGTTTGTTGAATAGACACCAGTTGGAATCCTTGATTCCTCTTAAGTTAGGTAAAATAGTAACAGGCTTTTGTTAACAGGTAACATGGCTGGAATACATTGGATAGAGCAGATAACTATGTCTTCATTGCAAGTTCTACACAGGTGCACATCACCCCTACACTACTCTAGCTTATGAACTGTTAATCCCATGAGAACAGTCATTCTTCACTGTATCTTATTCCTCTTTCATCAGCCAGTAAAGTTATGGAATATTTCACATCGTAAACATTACTAGGTGTTACAGCTGTGAAAGTGAAGGCTTTTGTCATAGGTGTAGCAATTTCCACAGTATTCTGTACCTTTGTCTCAATAGACGCAGTGTGAAGTAAAACTTCATTAAGCAGCTAACCACTTCTAATACTGAACGTTTGTTAGATATAATAATTCTTCACTGTGCCTCATGTTTTCTGTTCCTTGTTGGTTGAAAGAGAGTGCATAGGTACATGAATTATGGGACTGTAATGAAAAATGTGGCTCTTCCAGAAAAACACCTGTTATTGTCAAAAAGGAAGAGGAGAAGAAGCCCCATATAAAAAAGCCGCTGAATGCGTTCATGTTGTACATGAAGGAAATGCGCGCCAAGGTTGTGGCAGAGTGTACGTTGAAGGAGAGTGCTGCTATTAACCAGATCCTAGGAAGACGGGTATAAAAACACTTTTTTTGATTCTTTGCTCCATTTGAGCCATGTGCTACTGACCCTGGTACATTCAAAATTCGCTTGTTGTGACTAATGTATTCTTGTGCTTTTTAACAATGCCAATCTAAGAAAGTTTGAAGTCCATCTCCTGACCAGGTAGAATAGTTTGTCACTTGTCTGGGATTATAAATTTACACTCGGGACTTAAGAGTACCTTGTTTGTTGAGAGACTGGGGGTGGAGAATAAACCAAGAATCGGTGAATGTTAAGGAATCCAAATAAAATGGCTAAGAAAAGGTTGTAGAGCAGCAGTCCCTAACCCTCTGTGGCCTGCTAGAAACCAGGCCGTGCAAGTGGCAGGTGAGTGAGCAAAGCTTCTTCTGTGTATGTGCGGGATCGCAGCAGTTAGAGTGCAGTACTGCAGGCCACTTTAGCTGACTGTGTTCAGCAGGTCAGCGGTTCAAATCTCACCGGCTCAAGGTTGACTCAGCCTTCCATCCTTCCGGGGTGGGTAAAATGAGGACCCAGATTGTTGGGGGCAATGTATTACATTGCTTACTGGTGTACACCGCTTAGAGAGTGCTTGCACTTAAAAGCGGTATATAAGTCTCATAAATAAATAAATAAATAAATTCCCCCCCCATCCAGATCGTGGAGAAATTGTCTTCCATGAAACCGGTCCCTGGTGCCAGAAAGGTTGGGGACTGCTTAGGTAGGGAATGTCTGCTGAAAAAGAGGATTTGAAGCATTTAGAGGAACAGGAAAAATGGGGGAAAAATGGCAGAAACTCTAGCACATGTCTGTTCTGAAGCAACATCAAACTCCAGAGCCAGAATATTGTGGATGGGGTAAGAATGCATAAGATCGAGAGTCAAGGTTGCAAAGAGGGTTAGAAAAACGTGGATTGTGAGAAAGAAAATGGATAATAGAGAGTGTGTATCATAGGATTGAACAACTTTTTTCCAGTGGATTTAGAACAGTGGTTCTCAACCTTTTTAATGCCACGACCCCCCAACCGGTCGTAAGTCGAGGACTACTCAACTGGTGCAGCACCATTTGCAGAATGGGACTTTTGGCGGGCTCAGTAGGGCAGAGACAGCCTGGACAATTCCTATTGGCTTTTGAAAGCCAATAGAATTAGACTCTATTCAAGAGAGTCTATTCTATTGGCTTTCAAAAGCCAATAGAATAAAAGGGAGTAGCACAGCTAAGGAAAAGGGGGGGAAAATGGCGGACTGCATTGTTTGGCGACCCCCGTGAAATGGTCGTTCGACCCCAAATGGGGTCCTGACCCACAGGTTGAGAACCGCTGATTTAGAATCAGAATAGTTTCTGTTTTGGTAAGAAAGATGTGCTGGGCTAGTAAGAGTTGGCAGGTTGTATACAGGTGATTCTTGTATACATCTAAGCTGTGTAATTCTGCCTGATGTTGCCCTTTGCTGCAGTGTTGTGATTTTCCAATCCTCATAGATTGGGAGGGGTTGATGAGGAAAGAGGAAATAAAAGAGGAAAAGAAATTTTAACTTCCTTATCATTGACTTGAACTAAGCAGTTAAAGTTTAGTTTGTAGCTTTAAGTTGCTACAAATATGTATGAGCTTTCAATTATTTTCTCAATACAATGTTGGAATGATAAAATCAACATTTGAGTTCTTTTGTATAAAGAGTACCATAATTTCAATAATAATGTAAAGTTTTATTCCATGTTCGACTACAATGTATTTTTCTATGCTTCAGTGGCATTCATTGTCCCGTGAAGAGCAAGCCAAATACTATGAGTTAGCACGGAAGGAACGACAGCTTCATTCTCAACTCTACCCCACTTGGTCTGCCCGAGATAACTATGTAAGTCTTAATTGCAGATATGTACACTTCAATAATGGTACTTCGAGTAGTCATAACCATCATCCAGATTCTGGGATCTGAATTCTGCATCTACAGATTCACAATCCACTGTGCTGTAGCTATTTAGGGTTCAATTTTCAGAATTGTCTTCAAAGTTGAGTTGTAAACTGTCAAGCGATGGAGAAATCAGGAGATTCAGGCAGTTCAAATGAGTATAAAGATTTATTGCAAGCTTAAGCTCTCTTCAAGAATCTGAGCTACTAATTGTCAAGTGAAATGAGCAGGAATTAAAGCATTCAAATTGGGTTGGACTTAGATCTTTTGTGGGTGCGCAAGAACTCACGACTGATGACGCATTTGAGCCCTCCGTCTGCTCAGCCTGATCATCTCCTACATAAACAACCAGAAGTATGTGAAGAAAACACAAAGAAATAGTAATGTTAAAAGCTGGGAATAACCAATTCCAGCAGTGAATAGTGAGAGACTCAATTAGCTGCAATTGACTTCTGAATATTCAGTGAATGTTTTCCTATGCATTTCTAAAAAGATTTAAGGAGGATTGAGGAAGGATCCAGTAGGAATTGATTAAAATTAATCATAAGGTTATAGTGTGCAAAACTTAGTTTTTCACAACAACAAATCCTAATAATCCCTTATTTGGGCAAATTAAGATGTTTAAAACGATGAAGAATTAGTTAATCTCTTTTGGGGAAAGCATTTTTGTTTGCTCTCTCAACATATGCCTTTATTTGTTGCTTACTGGAAATTTTTCATAGTCATCACATCTGCAGTAAAGTCAATAAAGAATAAAATTCTCATAATAGAATGGCCAAATAATACATAGCAGAGCATCTTATTACGAAGCCCCCGATTTTCTGGGCTTTTGATTTATTTTCCCTAAATAAAATTTGCGGCCAGAGTTAACCATATCTGTTTTTTGTTTGTTGACATTTCATTGAGGTTTGAGACTTTTTTTTTAATCTTGAGAATTTAATTTACACAGAATGTATTTCTGTTCAGTTAATAATTATAAACCACTAGATAGTTGTTTTTAAATGAGCTTATGAAAAGAAATGTTTCTGTTTTTAGATAGTCTTTCTGCAATATGTATTTAATTGGATGAACCTCTTTTTATTATGGCAGTCTTCTTCACCATAAATTATAAATGACCAAAAAAACCCACAGTATACAATGACTTATTCAAATGAAATTGTTTGGCCTGGCATTTATCTACTTAAGTATCGTAAGTTTTTAAATAATTCTAGAATGTAATTCTGACTTTTGGCTAAATTTGTCCTTTTCAGGGAAAGAAAAAGAAAAGAAAAAGAGAGAAACAAACTCAGCAACACATCCAGGAAACAGGAAGTACGTATCATTGCCACTTGGTCAATCTGATCCTAATCCTTCAGTTTGGACCTGAATGAGTATAACAGCATTATCCCACCTACCCACCCCCCAAGTGAGAGGAAGTGGGCAGATCAAAATTGCTATTATTTGTCCTTTTTTTACAGTGTCTCCTAATTGGGTGACGTATAAATGTATCAAGAACCCTAACTTCTTAATCTGGGTAGGAATTTCAAAATGGCATCAAGGATTATAAAGAGAAACAGATGTTGATGGCATGGAGGGGAGTGGGGAGACATTTAACTCTATGTTGTTGGTTCCTAAAAGCAAAATTCAAAGAGAGCGTAAGGTGGCTTCCGGACAGTCGGCACTATGAGAATAATACTTCTGGTGCTGTGGCTTTGCTATGGCCCTAACTACAATGCTTACTGGGAATGGCTGCTTTCAAAATAAATGCATTTTTCAAGCAAGGAGACAATCTGCTTTTAATCGTTTCAGCCCTTTCCCCCTATTTGGCTGCAAAAAAAAAATTGACATGAGGATGGTAGATTTGGAACTGCATAGTTTATGGCTCATTCTTTAGCCATTCTCTTTGTAGCCTAACCAGCTTTAACCAGAATTCAAATAGATTGGAATAATTTCACGTGTGGTGAAAAGTAGGAGCAAACAAAGGAATCAATACACCTCTGCCCCCTTTATCATCAACAGATCCAATGGCTCTGAAGAGCAAGAAGCCTTGTGTGCCATACCTGTCAGCTGACAAGTCGTGCGACAGCCCTGCGTCCTCTCATGGCAGCATGCTAGATTCTCCAGCTACCCCTTCCACTGCCTTGGCATCGCCAGCAGCCCCCGCTGCCACCCACTCTGAGCAAGCACAGCCCCTCTCCTTGACCACCAAACCCGAAGCCAGGGCTCAGCTGTCTCTGCACTCGGCGTCTTTCCTGCCCAGCAAGGCTGCTTCCTCTTCCTCAAATCTCACCAGCCAATCACCTCTCCTCTCCAGGGCTCTGCCCTTCACCTCTATGCCCCCCACGGCTCTTCTGACTACGCCTCCGACTTTTGCAGCCATTCCATCTTCTCAGGCCACCCTGGCTATGTTGCAGGCCCAGCCGCTCTCCTTGGTCACCAAACCAGCTGAATGAGGGGGCTTCCCCATTCCCCCCCCCGTCTCCGTGCTAAAAGCCCCCAGTTGAGATTATGAAGCAGACAAAGCCATTTATTGGTCAATATTTGACCCTTTCTGAACTCTTCCGTAAGGTGACTCTTGAGGAAGAAAGTGCTCTACTCTCAGAGTTGTTTTCAGTAGTCTGTCTGAAGACCGTTTTTATTTTTATTTTTTAAATTTTTTTTAAATAAAAAACCACCACCACCACCACGAGGAAAAAAAAAATACTTTTTAACAAAACCCCGAAAAGACAAAGAACACAAGCCAAGTCCTGTGTTTCTGTCAGTGCCTCTTAGGCATGTAGACTTTGTACAGATGGATCATCTCTCAATGGTGTTTGCATGTTTTTGATATCTTGCTAACTTTTGCTATCTCCCGTTCCCTTGGCCAGACAGTGTTTTGTTTTATATGACTTCTCCTCTCATCCCGCTGTTCCATTCTTTTTCTAAGAGACTTCCAATATGTACCAGAAGACACAGTACCACAGAAATATAGTACCTCACTGTCATATTCAGAACTGCCGTGCCTCGGGGAAGGCCAAATGCGTTTCTTGTAATCTGGAGTGACTGTCCGGGAAAATGGTAGGACAATCCATCCTATTTCCTTACAGAATTATTTTCTGTAGCAGGCAGTAGGGGAATAGGTTTTGGGAAATTCCCTGTTATTTTAACAAAGGAAAATAAATCTGCATCCTAACTTGCCGTGTGATAGTATTCAATGAAGAATTTATGTTTAATACATCTTGCACTCTGTCTTCCCTCCCGTTTCCCTTCATGAGTATGCACGAAGAGGAAAAAGTGTTTGCAACTGATGTTTTTATATTAAGATCTGTCTCTAGCCTGTTGGTCCTGTCGACCTTAATTTTGGCCCCATTAATTCCCAGAACTGGACCATAAACCGTAATAAACATTATGAAGTGTATATAAAGAAATAATTTGTACATCTTGTTTGGAGGAGCCCATCTGAAGATTCTTCTCTAGATCTTGAGAAATGGGATAACTGAAAGAGGGAAAGGTGCAGGAAAGTGCATCACGGTCTAGGACCCCTGGGCCCAGTCCACTATTAGGTTCAAGGAGCTGTATGTGTGTGCTTGCCATTCCCCCCTCCCCCTGCACAGCAGGAAAGGGTGGGGAAGTCTGCTCTAGGGAATTGAAAAAGACCTAACCATGTTCTAGATCAGGGGTCCCCAATCCCCAGGCCGTGGTTCACTACTGGACCTATTCAGAATTGGGCTGCGCAAGTGGCTGGCCGGGGTATGGGCACGCGCAACTCAGCTTGTGTGAGCGATGGGCCAGCGGGCACTTGGATGCACCGGCTGACCACTTGCGCAAGTCGAGCTGTGCACGCATCAGGCCACTTGTGCGGTCCAGTTTTCCCCCTCTCCCTCCTCCGCCAAGCCACAAAGGTTGGGGACCGCTGTTCTAGATAACCCTTCTTCCAGCCATCTGACTGTCCGCACTTAAAAACAAGACAGTGTAAGGGAAAGAGAGGCGATTAAGATTAAAGTCAGTAATCAACTGGCACAGAAGTTGGTTAGGCCAAACAGGGTGAGCAGAAAGAGAAACGTGGTTTTGGAACTAGAGCTGTTTTATTTATGTCTCACATAATCTTCAGCAAGATCAAAGTGCCTTCTGGAAGTCTTCCAGTGGTCTTAGTGAATTCTGTGAGTTGAAGTCCACAGTCTTTAAAGTTGCCAAGATTGGACAGCCTTGGTTCGTAAGGACCCTATGTGGAAATGTTGCATACTCTTGTTTCATGCAGGCAACTTAATGACTTGGATTAAAATCTTGATATGGAAGGTTTAAAGCAGTGTTTCTCAACCTTGACAATTTTAAGGCATGTGGACTTCAACTCCCAGAATTCCACAGCCAGCATTGCTGGCTGTGGAATTCTGGGAGTTGAAGTCCACATGCCGTAAAATTGTCAAGGTTGAGAAACACTGGTTTAAAGGAGCTATAAGATGTAATTCTCCTGAGTTTTATTCATGCTTTTAAAACCAAATCTATTGGAGATCAGAGAGGGCTGGATTCAAAATGTTAAGAAAAAGTGACATTTTGCATGCTTGGCTTGTAATTTATTATATCTGGCACATATTTACAGGGAAAAAAGGGATTGAATATTCCCAGTAGATCGGTAATTTTAATATCCATTGAAAGAATCAGTAACAGAAAGGCAAGTGTTGAAGAAAACCAAACAAAACTGATTTTTCCCCATGTCCTGGGTGCCACTTCCAACAACAACAAAAATATCAAAACCTTGTTGGAAATAGTATCTGCCATGTCAGTTGAAATCTTTAAAAAAAATTGACTGCATCATTTTTAAAAATGTATTTCCACTGAAAACAGGATGCTAAGTTTCCATTTTAGCCGTTTAACAATGGCTCCTTTTTTTCTCTAAAAAGCAAAAATTGATTTCAAGAAACGTCTCAAAAAAAAAAAACCCCCAACATTGCATAAAAAGCACCTGGGTCATGTGCAACCTTGCTCGGAGAATCCCAAGAGCTGCCTGCAGACAAACAGCCTCTTGAATCAGATTTCATGGAAAATTAAGGGCATGAAGCAACCTGTCAGAATAATTAAAGTCTGACCCTGGGCCAGACAGCTTCAAACAGATGTTGAGCTTTAGCAAGAGAGTATTTCTTTGTTTTACGCTGTATTTTCCCATACAGGAAAGAACATCTGTTAGGGTGCTGCTTCGGGGGGGGGGGGAATGGCAAGAGTTTGCTGCAACGGGTTGGGGTTGGGAGGCAGTCAAACTATGACTGGCATAGAGTTTCTATCTCTAGGGCCATGTTTGCTTCCAATGAAGTACAGATAGTCCTCGACTTAACGACAGTTCATTTAGTGACCTTTCAAAGTTACATCACTGAAAAAGTGATTTATAACCATTTTTCTTACTTAACAATTGTTGCAGCATCCCCATGGTTATGTGATCAAAATCCAGACAGTTAGCAACTGAGTCATGTTTATGATGGTTTGCAGTGTCCCGGGATTGTGTGATCACCTTTTGCGACTTTCTGACAATCAGTCAATGGAGAAACCAGATTTGCTGAACAACCGTGGTACTAACTTAATAATGCAACAATTCACTTAATGACTGTGGCAAGAAAGGTTGTAAAATGGGGCAAAACTCACTTAACAAATGTTTCAGCAACATAAACTTGGGGCTCAATAGTGGTCGTAAGTCAAGGACTACCTGTAGCAGATAGCATGGCATCAAGCCACCGCATTGGTTCAGGATCACTTTGCTTTCTCATGTAAAAAGCTACCTGGCCAGCACAAATCATTGCATTTTACTCCTTTCTTGCTAACAAGATGATGCCTCTTGAAGGCAAGATACTCACTACCCAAGTTAGGGCCTCAGCTGGCATCGCCCAGCCGTTTTGGAGGCCATGTAAAGCATGATTCTTATTGCGATCATCAATGATTGAATGGCTTTGTAGATGCCATGAAGTCAATAGTAGGGTTGCTGCTTGATTGGCATGTTTTCATGAGATAGGAATATGGAAAGCAATTGCCCCATCATTACTGCAAATATGTGCGTCTCATATCCTTGGCACCACGAAAAGCAAAGCTAAATTAGTTGCTGCTGCAAATGTAAGTGGTCTATAATGAGTTATAATTGGGTGTAGTTTCTTGTCCCACCATTGTTTTCCCACTCGTATATTGAACACAAGGAATCTAATGATTGTGTTTACCTTGCCAAACTCTTAACGGCTACAGAGACCCCATAGTCACATTTTTCACAACTGCCCAGCTGCATGCCATGGACACCACCCTCCCACTTCAGCCACACAGATGTTGAATGCATTGCTGTAATCCAGGGGTGTCAAACTCGCAACGTGTCGCGACGTATCGTGACTTTCCCCATTGCCGGATCTGGGCTGGGCGCAGTTTCGGCATGACGCATCCGGCCCATGGGCTGGCAGTTTGATACCCCTTCCGTAATCTAATTCTGATTGAATCAAAGTTTGCCCACAAATTTGTACATTTAGGATTAGTCCAGTTAAAGGTATTTTGTGATCGTAGGATATGAATTTTTTTCCTTTTTTTATGAAGGAAAAACTCTTGTAGAGAGCTTAAGCTTTAGTTCTAAATATGAAGTCTACTGGCTGTTCAGTGGCCTCTTGACTTGCTACCCATAAAAAGACAAGGGTAGGACTAAGAAACTAAACTACATTTTACTTTCAGAGTAAAAAAAAGTTCAGTCTGCAAGATTGATGGCAAGGCCAACTTCTGGTTGATAAGAACTTCTTAGTGAAGTTGGAGACAAGATATCAGAGTAGAATACTGCTTCCTTACATTTCCTCTTCAGAACTTTTATACAAACGTTCTACATCATTTAGCATTTCATTCTTTCCATATCCACATAAACATTTAGCTGTTCATTGGGTTTAATTGTTTTATTTTTTACTACGTGTATGGGGGAAAGTTCTTACAAGGGCTGACTTTGTCTGCTATACCCTATGCTTTCTGTTTGTATAACCTGCTGAGAATCCTGATGGATTGGGGTGGCATATACTGTAAAGTCTAGCAGATAAATAGGTAAGATGCCGTGTGTTCCTCTGCTTCAGGTAGCATTAGATGTCTATATTTGATTGATACTCTGGTTGAACCCCTGCATTTCTCTGGTACTGTCTCATGCTGTGTTCAGCCTTTTGGAAATGAATGTTCCAAAATGGTCCTTTTGATTAGCTTTAGCTTTTAGTTAGACTTTCCTGGATATGTGTGAGTGCTCCATTTTGTGCAGAGAATCTTGGGTTTCAGTCTGAAACTTCAATGTCCTCTCCCATGGAGTGTGCCTGCCTGTCTGGAAATCCAGAATTCTGTCCTACCAATGGATAAGCAGTAAACTGAGCTCAGTGATTACAAGTCTTCGTTGACGTGGTGTCTTTCAGAAGTGAGGAATGTGACATCCCTCGTTCCCGGTTGGCTATACAGTTCTATTTTGATAAGTCGGAAATTATCAGCATGCCTTATAATTAATCTGTGAAATATTGATGGATATGAATATTACTCTGTGCCCTTCCCACCATTCTTAACGCCTAGTAAATATCCCTCCGAATGATGTTTACGTCCATGGGCATGTCCCTTGTGAGTTGAATTTTGGATTACGATAACTTCTGAACCCAGTGAGTTGGGTCTTTGTTAATAAATAATGGCTAAACTAAATCCATGTCTAGTTTTTGTGTTTTTCCTTCATCAGTATCCCTCCGTAGCATTCATGCCAGCAAGAGAGGCAATAAAGAGATGGGACTCTTGGCTGTAAGATAGTCTCGCAAGCGAATGGACTCTTAAAAAATCACAATAAACTGAAAGGGTCAGTCTCTCCTTTCTCTTCAGCAGCTGCACAGACATAACAGAAGTGAATGGAGGGTCTCAAGTTACCTCCCCTCATCCCATCTTGCAACCCCCAGGAATCAACTGCTTGAACTTGGGCCAGCAAGGCACACAGGCCTGCCTGGCCCTTTGTTTGTTCTCTTCTTCCACTCTTTGTGTGTTACTATTCTGTTCTGCTTTTTCTTTCTGTCTGTAACAATTAATGTAGGTAGCCGGGTTCGAAATGTTATGATTGCTTTTCTTTGGGGATCCACTGGCCATCTCATTAAAAGCCCGAGTTGGGTAGATCTTTCTTTCTTTTCCTTTTTTCAGAGAGCTTGTTATAAAACCTCCCGAGTGCAGATAGCATCTGGGTCCCTGTT